CCCAATTGTATTCCCTTTTGGATTGCTTGAATCTTGACCCGTTTAAATTTCTTAAAGGTCCAACTTAAAGCCTAACCCTAGCCACTTTATTGTATGATTTATGGTCTTGTGTGAGAGAAAGAGGAATTCCTGCTGCCTCCTTTGGTGTGTGAAAAACAGCCGCTAGAAGTGTCTAAAATGCTTGTTTATTTTGTGTAATTGGTAGTTTCTTCATAGTATACCTTTGTGCTGCCTTCTCCTCGTCTTTGTGGTCACAAATCATCATCTTTTCTTGTCCTACGTGAGTAAGATTGAATAACAACTGAAGTGAATTGTATTAGTTGTGGTTTGAAGCCGGTTGTATTGGTTGTTGGTAGAGAAAGGTACGTTGGACTGAGTCCCAAAAAATCAAATTGAAGATCCTTGGAGAGAGCTTTCGCAACAAAAGCATAGTAAAGAATATAAAGAAAATTTATGAGGATGTAAATCATATGATGTAGTTGCCTTTACCAAAATAAACTAAAACAGGATGGATATGTGCTGACCATCATGTCTCTGTCTTTCCGAGAGTTGTACTAGGGTCGCCTGGATTAGACTGTACATTCTCGAAACCTTGCGGGAATAATTTAGAATGTAAAGATGGAAATATTTTTTTCACATGCAACCAAGTTTGTTCCCAAATGCTATCTCTACCAAGAATACTAGTAGGTATTGTTACGTATTGTCATACTTGGCCCACTCAATTCGAACCACGTGGCACTCTGGCCGAAGTGGGTTGAATTGGCACTGAATTCGAACCGCGTAACACTCTAGCCAAAGTAGGCTAAATGGTCGAGGCCCATATACAGAGGCCTTTAATATTGCCAAACTCCATATGCCGAGGCCTGTGGATATTTCCGAAGCCCTGAAGGGGAAGTAATACGTGAGTGGCAGAAGTCCCTAAACCATGAAGGAACTTCTTCCATGATCATCTCTCCTAAGAGATCTTCTACATAAAGATCTTGTTTGAATGATTGATAGAACGTTTGTCATGAGTGCATGTGTTAAGTCTTATCACTAGCAAGGGGGTTCTGCACAAGCAATAAATGCGTAGCAAACTAGCAAGTCAAGGATGATGCCTAGGATTAGATGTTTGAGTTAAGGAGATGAGGCCACGTGCCACCTCATCTAAGGGCTACCATTTCACATGTAACACTATAAATACTTCCTCTATATAACATAGAAAGGTTAATGCAAGAATCAATACAAGGAACCACACTTTACTCTCTTTTTAATATTGTCTTACAACACAACACAAATATATACATATTTACATTCACATTCATGAACACCGATTGGTAATTATTGTACAATCGGATTACGAACATCCCACCGAATTCTGAACGTACTCGTCTCGTGTCGTTGAACTACTCCCACGCCCCTAAAGAGGTTCGTTCCAGATAGTCCATGTGTCTTAGCGTGTAGGACCTTCGCTCACATGTATGCGGGTGGGTCCGACATCTGTTGGCAACACTTTTTGGGGTCAACAGATTGGCGCCATTTGTGGGAAGCCATACTATAACCACGAACAACCTTGTGGTGGAAGCTTATTGAAAAATATTTGGGCAACCCTGCTTGAAAAAGGATTTGTTCTTGAAAAAGAATAAGAGGAAGCCCCACAACTTAGCAAAATCTGAAGTCAGGCGAAAGTAAAATGAGTTCAAACGAGGACACACCCCTCAGGAGGGTAAGAGAAAACGCACATGTGCCTCCTCCACCCGCTGCCCCAGCAGCCCCGTAAAGACTCCACCACCACCAAAGACGAGGTGGAATGAGGGCTACGACCTGACTTTCGAGAGAAATGGCTGCCATGGCGGCCAATATGAGAGATATTGCTAGCCAAAACTTGGCTATGAGGGAGCTCATGGGAAATGGCTGCCATGGCGGCCAATATGAGAGATATTGCTAGCCAAAACTTGGCTATGAGGGAGCTCATGGCCCAAATGCAAGGCCAGGGGAGCTTCCCTATTCCTCTATATGCCCCTCAGGGGCACTATTAGCAAGAAGACGAAATTCAAAGTCATAGAACTGCCTCGCCGGACTATAGCCGAGGTGGAAACCCATTTGAAAGGGAAGTGGGAGTTGATATTTCCTCCAACTATGCTTCCGGTCGACCCACCGAGGTCCCATTGAATCATGACAACTTTCCACCTCCATATGAGCAAGAGTCAAGACAAAGGAGGGTAGGCAGTGTATTTGACAGAATCAGCCCCGTTGAACCAAGGCTTAGGCAACAGCAGACACATCAACCTTGGACAAGACCACAGCCTCCACCTCCGATGCCCCAGCAACCGGAAGAAAGACATGAAAATGTCCCCCGAGTTGCTCCGCCTAGAAATAGGCGCCAGAGGAGGGAAGAAGAGGCTAGGCACCATCCCGGGACCTCTCACCAACAACCACGGCAAGAGGCCGAGGAGTCTGATTCGGATGAATAGCCGAGATCTTGTGACTTGGATGATGATGATGACAATTTGCCATTCTCAAGGGAACTAAGAAATGCCTAGGTTCCAAGTCACTACGTAATGCCAAAGATACCAAAGTATGACGGAAGAGGCGACCCGGAGAGCACCTGAATGCTTATAAAACCCACATGAGCCTAAGAGACGCCACCTCAGCTGTGAAGTGCAGATCTTTTCATTTAACACTTAGTGGAGCAGTTGAAATGTGGTATAGCAGGTTGCCACCGGAGAGCATAAGAAACTGGCCTGAGTTCAAGACAACATTCTTGAAAAGGTTTGTGGTAAGCAAAGAAGGAGAGGCCCCCATACAGCATCTCCAAGACATGAGACAAGCACATGGGGAATCCCTAAAGAGCTTCTTGTCTCGCTTCACAGATGAAATAACGTATTGCGTGGAAGTCACCGACCGTGAGGCACTATCTGTTTTGAGGAGAGGTCTGAACATGAATACCTTGTTCTGGAGGGATGTACAAAATCAAGATCCTACCACCTATGATGCCCTACTCGAGATGATGAGGTGGGAAATCATCAATGAAGAATTGATTGAGCATAGGAACAGGGCAAGTAGAGGCTTCCCACCTCCTCAGAGGCAGCGTGCAAGAGGACCGACTTCCCACCTGATGGACTACCAAATGAACCAGGCTGGAAATGAGAGTTTCGGCCAAGCACTTGCCACCACCACTTTAAACGCAGTTCCTACCCTCGCATATGAGGATATCAACCAAATTACCAACACCCAGCAGATGGAAACCCCCCAAGGATCCCGTAGAGGAAGAGGCCGAGGTCAGGGTTCGAGACCTAGAAATAGGTCAAACCAGAACCCACTAGGATACTGTGTACACCACAAGTCCTACGGACACGACACGGCAGATTGTCGAGACTTTGCCCACCGCACCAGGGCGAAACCCCCCAGGCACAGAAATGAATCGCCTCAAGCAAACAAGCCCTCGCCCAGGCACGACAACCAACGTGGGAGTGAGGAGGCCGTTCCTCGTCAAAGGGATGTTTCCCACGATAAAGGGAGTGTGATACGGAGAGGCCCAGGGAAGGGCACAGGCACCGAAGAAACTGACAAGTCCAGAATGAGGCTCCTATCCACGAGATAGATACCATATTTGGAGGCCCGTATGTTAGCGGTGAAACACGAAACGCCAAAAGGAATTACGCCCGAGAGGTAAAACACCTCCCTTTGACAAGTTACATTGTGGACAGCAGCTTCCAGAGGAACCAAGTTCCACCCATCGTCTTCACTCAGGAAGACGCCGAAGGAGATCACTTTCCCCATTGCGATGCACTTGTTGTGAGGGCCGTCATATCCCGAAATGGGCTCAAGCGAATGTTAGTTGACAACGATAGCTCTGTCAATATTCTATTCGGATCCGCCTTTGACAAGATGATATTGGATCATCAGTTGACGCCCACTACAACTCCTCTGTACGGATTCATCGGAGATAGCATCACTCCAAGGGAAAAGATAACACTTGCAGTGGAAAAGGGAGAGTCTCCCCAAACTACAATGAACTTCATGGAGTTCCTTATTGTCGACAGTCGATTGGCTTACCATGATGTATTAGGTAGGCTAGCCGTAAAGGAATTGGGAATAGTCACTTCCATCCACCACCTGTGCATGAAATTCTCAATGAAAAATGGGGTAGCAACGGTGAGAGGTGACTAAAGAGGGTTGCCAGAGTGCTATCTAAGCTCCATAAAAAAGGTAGAGCCTCAGTACATCCACGTAATCATAGCTGATATAGTCATGGCTGACGTCCCAGGTGATGCTCCCACTATGCACCACCCAATCCGGAGGTCTTGGTCATTGACGAAATCGATCCTCGCATAATTGAACACGAACCTCAAGCATCCCTAGTCGAGGAACTTGAGAACTTCTCGGTGGACTCCCGAGACCCATTCAAGATGCTGAGAGTAGGCAAGGGTTTATCCAACACTCTGAAGGAAAAGATTAAAGACTTCCTAAGCAAGAATCTTGATGTCTTTGCCTGGAAGTATGAGGACATGGTAGGCATAGACCCTAAGGTCAGTTGCCACCACCTGAAGATCGATCCTAAAGTTGTCTCACACAGGCAAAAAAGGAGAGCCCTCAATCCTGAAAGGTACGAGGCTCTGAAGGAAGTGGTTTAGAAGTTTATCCAAAATGGCTTTATCAGGGAAGCTACCTATCTGAGGTGGGTTTCCAACCTGGTTTTGGTAAAGAAACACAATGGTAAGTGGAGGGTGTGCATTGATTTCACCAATCTCAACAGAGCTTGCCCGAAAGACAGCTTTCCTCTCCTAAGGATTGACCAACTAGTAGACTCCATGGCTGGGCATGAATTGTTGAGCTTCATGGACGCATACTCCAGCTACAACCAAATACCCATGCTCCCGGTCGATGAGGAGCACACTTCTTTCATCACAGATCGAGGCCTCTATTGTTATAGGATGATGTCCTTCGGGTTGAAAAATGCCGGAGCAACTTATCAAAGGCTCGTCAACAAAATGTTTATGGACCTCATCGGTAAAACGATGGAGGTATATGTGGATGACATGTTGGTAAAAAGTCTGGAGGCTGAGGACCACATAACGCACCTCAACAGCACATTCCAGATCCTGAGAAGATATAGGATGAGGCTCAACCCCCTCAAATGCTCCTTTGGAGTGGCTTCAGGTAAATTCTTGGGATACATGGTCAATCAACGTGGAATTGAAGCCAACCCGGAGAAAATTGAGGCCTTATACAAGATGAGGTCTCCCTAAAAGCCAAAGGAAGTGCAAAGTTTAAATGGGCGGGTGGCCACACTTAGCCGTTTTGTCTCCAAAGCTATAGACAAATGTCTCCCATTTTTCAAAGTGCTGAAAACGGGGAAAAAGTTCCAATGGAACGAGGAATGTGAAGATGCCTTCCAAGGCCTGAAAAGGCACTTGGGGCAGGCCCCCCTCCTCTCCAAATCGAAGCCCGGAGAAATCCTACAACTATACCTAGCCGTCTCAAACGAGGCCATCAGTTCGGTTCTGACTCGAGAAGAAGGAACCACCCAACTTCCAGTTTACTATACAAGTAAAGCACTCCTATCGTCGGAAATCCGTTACCCCGATATGGAGAAGCTCGCTTTAGCCTTGATCACGGCCTCTAGGAAACTAAGACCCTACTTCAAGCTCACACCATCCACGTGTTGACGAACTTTTCCCTAAGGCAAGTGCTCCAAAAGCCTGATGCCTCAGGAAGATTGTTGAAGTGGGCAGTGGAGCTAAGCGAATTTAACCTCGTGTTCAAGACTAGGGCGGCCATCAAGGGTCAGGCCTTGTCTGACTTTGTGGTAGAATTCACCAACTTACCCGACGTAGATGAAATCATGGAACCCGTCGAGCCCCCTACATGGAATTTATTCATGGATGGGTCGGCTCAGGTGCTGGAGTTGTCCTCATCAGCCCCGAAGGTTACAAACTAAACTTGGTAGTGAGGTTCGGGTTCAAGGCCACCAACTATGTAGCAGAATATGAGGCATTACTTGCAGGCCTCAGACTGGCAAGGGAAATGAAATTAAAGAGGCTCCTCATAAGCAGTGACTCCCAGCTGGTTGTTAGCCAAGTGAATGGTAACTTCTCAGCCAAGGACAAAATAATGGCCTCTTACCTGAAAATGGTAATGAACCTCATCCCTTCCTATGAAAAATTCGAACTAATCCAGATCCCGCGCATCGAAAATTCTCATGCGGATGCACTCTCTAAGCTCGCAAGTAGCAAGGATTCGGAACTACTCACGGTAGTACCTATAGAGCACCTCTTCCTACCATCGACCGAGACCCCCAATGTCATGTGGGTCACTGGGACCCCTACCTGGATGCAGCCAATTGTAGCATACCTTAAAGACCAGGTACTTCCCACTAACAAGCTTGAGGCCTACAAGCTACGGAGGAGGTCAGCCCACTTCCTCTTCATTGATGATGTTCTCTATAAGAGAAGCTTCTCCTCTCCACTTTTACGATGCGTCAGAGGAGAAGAGGCTAACTATATATTAAGAGAAGTCCATGAGGGCGTGTGTGGTAATCACTCTGGAGGTCTATCTTTAGCACAAAAAATATTGAGGCAGGGGTACTACTGGCTGACCCTGAAAAAGGACGCCCTCCAATTTGTACGAAAATGTAACAAATGCCAATGATTCTCTTCGGTACAAAGACAACCGTCACAAGATTTGACTACGGTCTCTAGCCCTTGGCCTTTCTCAAAGTGGGGTGTGGACCTCATAGGTCCTCTACCTAAGGGTAGAGGAGGTGTAAGCTTCGCAATTGTGGCCATTGATTACTTTACAAAATGGGTTGAGGCCGAACTGCTGGCAAAAATTACAGAAGCAAACACTTCCAAGTTCTTATGGAAGAATATTATATGCCGATTTGGGATCCCCTATTCGATCGTCTCAGACAATGGCAGACAATTCGACAACAAGAAGGTCAGACAACTATGCGAGAAACTTGGCATCAAGAAACATTTCTCCACACCTCACCACCCACAAGCAAATGGCCAAGTTGAGGCTGTCAATAAAACAATCAAACATGTCCTAAAAAGGAAGCTTGATGTGTTAAAGGGGGCTTGGGTAGATGAGCTGTCACAAGTACTGTGGGCGATCCGAACCACCATAAGGACCTTAACTGGAGAAACGCCTTTCCTCATGGCATTTGAAACTGAGGCAATGATCCCCGTTGAGGTTGGACTGCCGTCTCCAAGACGTCTGCATTTTAGTGAAATCACAAATGACGAGCTTAGGAGGTGCGACCTCGGCTTCATTGAAGAAAGAAGAGATGACTCCCAGTTGAAGCTCGGTACATATCAAAGGAAGATGACGAGATACTTCAACTCAAAAGTCAAGAAAAGATCATTCCGAATCAATGACTTGGTCCTTAGAAGAGTTTTCCTTTCCTCAAAGGAACCTGGTTCCGGTTCCTTGGACCCTAACTAGGAAGGCCCATATAAAATCAAAGAAGAGATTCGGCCTGGAACGTACTGGATTGAAGACATGAACGGCAAGGCACAACCCCGTCCATGGAATGTCGAGCACCTCAGAATCTCTTACCAATGAGTGTATCACCTCGCTGGAAGGTTTTTCCCAGCTCATGTAACGTTTCTATGATTCAATAAAATTCATTTGCTTAAAACTGTTGCATTATGTCGTCACCTCGGAGGAGAGGCCAGTGTCCCATCTTTGGGCCACCTCGCTTAAACTCTGAGGCTCATGCACATGCCTCCCTTTGGCGAGGCTGAATGCCAAGGGGTGAAGCCTCAACATGGCTGTACCATCCACCATGTTGGGAAGCGTCATCACCTCGGGGGAGAGGCCACGGTGCCATCTTTGGGCCACCTCGCTTGAACTTTGAGGCTCATGCACATGCCTCCCTTTAACGAGGCTGAACGCCAAGGGGAGAAGCCTCAACATGGCTGCACCATTCAACATGTTGGGAGCGTCATCACCTCGGAGGAGAGGCCACGGTCCCATCTTTGGCCCACCTCGCTTGAACTCTGAGGCTCATGCACATGCCTCCCTTTGACGAGGCTGAACGCCAAGGAGAGAAGCCTCAACAAGGCTGTAGCATCCACAATGCTGGGAAGCGTCATTACCTCGAAGGAGAGGCCACGGTCCCATTTCTGGGCCACCTTGCTTGAACTCTAAGGCTCATACACTTTTAATATTCCTAGTTCGGCAGCAACACGGTCCATCCTTAGGATCCCTTCAGGTTACAGTTATTAAGTTCAAGTACAATTCATTTGCTTAGGTCCCATATTGGTCATAACTTGTGAGGCTTGTACAATTTATTTGTTCAACTGATTGGATTCAGGATACCCAATTAAAGTTATTTAGTTTATCAATCAATATTACGTTCAATTGCTTAGCGAGGCCAATACACTTCAGAGAAAGGAACAACATTAAACAAAAGAGATATTATATTAATTTTCAATTGAAAATACAAAGGAGGGCCTGAGGCTAGTACATCGTCAATAACTGAAAGGAAAACTACCCTAAGCCTGGGAAGGTGATGGAGGTGCTTCAGCAGTTGGGACATCAGCAGCTTAGACGTAAAAAATTACTTCTCCTGCCTCTGCTGCTTCAACTCCCACTACCTCATCAGCTGGGGTTTGAGGCATCTTGTCCATAAACTTCGACCTGAGTTGCGACATGTCCTTATTTGGGTACAACTCCTCAGCTCGCTCCATCACCTCGGTGTAAGCAAAGTTCCTCCAGTACGTGCTGAAGCTCTGGTACTCCTCAGTGTTGTGAAAATTTGCAATATAGTCCTTCACTGCCTCCTCCCTTGCACTGGGACTCATGCACCTCCCTCTTCAACACCTCTATCTGGGCCAAGGCAGACTTCAGCTTGGCCGATTCTTCAAATTTTTGGGCCCTAGCATCTTCAGCTTCGGCCCTAGCTGCTTTCAGCTCCTCTACAAGGGAGGCTGTCTTTTTCTCAGTCGTCTGAAAGCCTGTAAAAGCCTCCCTACACTCCAGTGCGACACCAAAGGTCCTAACACTTTAGCTGACAAGAGCCATGGTTAAATCTATCGTGTCACAGGAGGAGGTGTACAGCTGCCACCGATCCATCCAAAATCTATAAAAACTTTCAGTGGCGCTTTGGATCTCAGGTGGCAAGGCCTCTACCAAAGCTGGGGCCAGGGGATCTTCCCTGCTAGCAAGGAAGCTTGGAGACTTACCTTGTACGCGAACAGGTCTCTCTTTGGCAACCTCCTCCTCAGCTGCCTCGGCTTGCCTCCTTGTAGCCTCCTCTCTCACCTCCTCAGCCTCAACACGCCTGACCATTTCGATCTTAACCGCTTTCGAGGTGGCTTCTAGTAGCTTCGGTGGTCCGGCTTCTTTACCTTGGGACATAGAACTCCCAAGTTTTCTAGAAGAGCTGGAGAGGTGCACGAGTTTTCTCTTCTTCAGCTCATCAGTGATCTTCTTCTTCCCCCGAGGCTCTTTGGCCTTCTCTTGCCTCTGGGGAACCCTCTCTTCAGAAGCCCTTGAAGTACTGTCCTTGGAGAGTCGTTCAACCCTACCTCGAACCTCCTTTACACCACTGGACCAGGGCTTCAGGGGCCGTGCCTTCACATTAGAGGTCGCCTTCAGAATGGACGCCATGTCAGGAGCTGGGTACTCATTCCTCTTAAACTTATCTGCACAACACACTGCGTTAGTACCAAAATGAAAATACAAAAATATACAAGTGTGGAGGCTTCATACCCTTGGAGGCCATCAGTTCGAAGTCTAGGAAATAGTGACTTTTTTCGATGAGGTGGTCGAAGTGGCGAAGCTTTAGAGGTCTCTTGTAAATATCCTCTATTACTTCAAACTCCTCCCTGCTCAGTTCGAACCTCGTACTGCAATCTACAACCGAAGCATCAACAGTTAGACAAAAAATTAGAGCTAACAAAGGAATGCAAACTACTAGGGTGGGAGATTCACGAGCTTCGTTGTACTGGGTTGGTACCATGCAAGACAGGGCTTTGTCTCCCTTCACCGCTTGCCACCTGCCCCTAACCCAGAACCATGACTCCTTCCACCCCTTTATGGAAGAAGGTAGCCCCACCACAAAAGGCGCATGGGCCCCCCATGGAGTCAAGTAGTACCACCCCTTGGACTCCTTGCCTATTATCCTAGGCTGAAAGAGAGTCATAAAAACGTGGAGAGGCATGTCCTCCCCAAGCGACACTTCTTTCCATAGGAAGTACGACCCGACCAATTGGCTCCACCCATTTGGCAGAACCTGGGTCGACGACAACATGAAATTCCTCAGCACAACCCTGAAAAAGGGGTGCAGAGGAAGACGCATACCTGCCTTAAATAAATATTCACTCACTGCAACACACCCCTGCCTCGAATAATAGGCTTGCTCATGAGCCTCGGGGACTAGCATCTCCACATAATAAGGTACACAACACCTCTCCTTTATCTCCCCCAACCTCTTCGACGTCATATTCAAAGGGACTCTGGACGCCCCCACTCTACATTGTAATCTACCTCTTCTTCGGTCATAGCAATTTGCTCGACCTCGGACTCCTCCCTATAACTAGACTCCCGACCAAATGACGCGACAGTGACCAACTCCCTTCCCGAGGTCGACTCCATCTCAGAAAGCAACTAAGAAAACGATAAGAGGAATTCCTGTGAAAAATACCTACTGAAAGACTACGCGAACTGAGTTTGCCGGAAAAGCAGTAAACAAGATTACTTCAACGCCGGAATGTTTAAGATCTGAGAGGGGAAATCAAATTGCAAATGCTGGAAAATTCTGAAAAAGGGAGCTTTCTCACCTTTTATAAAGGGTCAGGACAAACCCCCACCGTCAGATCGAAGCTCATTCAATCTGAACCCTTCATTTTAAATCAAATCCGAGGCGTAGAATTCAAACAGTTTTTCAAACCTACGCCTCAGATTTAAGCGTGTCTCCCACGCACCTCAGCCAACACGTCTGCTTCTAGAATCTCCAGCTGTTCTAATAATTATGATTTTAATTCGACGGCAGGCGCCTTGGAAGTCGCAACGATTTATCTACCTCTCCTGGAAAACATGCGCAAAATATCAAATCAATGGCACAACTAACAAGGAAAAATTATCATCAATGAACCTCTGCTTCATCTTCAACATTCAGCCATCAAGTCTCGCAGGTTCGGTTTCCCAACCACCTCAGCTTTATCTTCAACATTCAGTCCCAACAACCTCAGCTTCATCTTCAACATTCAGCCATCAAGCTTCACAGGTTCGGTTTCTCACCACCTCGGCTACTACATCATTCACCCGCAGCAACACATTTCAAACTACCCACCGACTTTACTTCATTCAAGTCCATGCATTACATAAATGACTATATTTGGACTTGGGAGACTATTGTTACGTAGTGTCATCCTTGGCCTACTCAATCCGAACCACGTGGCACTCTGGCCGAAGTGGGCTGAATTGGCACTGAATTCAAACCCCGTGACACTCTAGTCGAAGTGGGCTAAATGGTCGAGGCCCATATACAGAGGCCTTTAATATTGCCAAACTCCATATGCCGAGGCCTATGGATATTTTCGAAGCCCTGAAGGGGAAGTAATACGTGAGTGGCGGAAGTCCCCAAACCATGAAGGAACTTCTTCCATGATCATCTCTCCTAAGAGATCTTCTACATAAAGATCTTGTTTGAATGATTGATGGAACGTTTGTCATGAGTGCATGTGTTAAGTCTTATTACTAGCAAGGGGGTTCTGCACAAGCAATAAATGTGCAGCAAGCTAGCAAGTCAAGGATGATGCCTAGGATTAGATATTTGAGTTAAGGAGATGAGGCCACGTGCCACCTCATCTAAGGGCCGCCATTTCACATGTAACACTATAAATACTTCCTCTGTATAACATCGAAAGGTTAATGCAAGAATCAATACAAGGAACCACACTTTACTCTCTCTTTAATATTGTCTTACAACACAACACAAATATATACATATTTACATTCACATTCATGAATACCGATTGGTAATTATTGTACAATCGAATTACGAACATCCCACCGGATTTCGACCGTACTCGTCCCGTACCGTTGAGCTACTCCCACGCTTCTAAAGAGGTTCGTTCCAGACAATCCATGTGTCTTAGCGTGTAGGACCTTCGTTCATGTGTGCCCCGGTAGGTCCGGCATCTGTTGGCAACACTTTTTGGGGTCAACAGGTATAAGCACTCTAACTTCATTACAAACAAGGTGTTCTTTAGCAGTTCGAGAAACTAATTCTTATAGCTTCTCGCTTCTTTTAATCTTAAGCTTCATATATTATTCCATTCGATCAATGACATTCCGCCAAAGTTTGCAGAAGCTTGACAACTATGATAACTTATGGAATACATGTAAGAAACTTTTGTAACGACAAGTGTGCTTTTTATGTTTTGATACTCCTTTTGAGTTTGAGAATTTCCCAGTCCAATTTCCGCCAAATC